GCTTTGCTGGAGAAGGTGCATAGGGGAGTTGGGTAGGCTGGCCGGGGGGCAGAGGAGCGGGTCGGGGAGGGATAATATTGTGGGTTAATCAGATAACACATATTGAGGATAAAATGTGCCAAATTGTTCCGACCCCGCCAAACCCATGTAATCCTCCTGGGGGGTCCCCGCTGCAGCCCCTTGCAGGCATGGTACCTCTGCGCTGGCAGGCTGAAGCAGGGAGGCAGCCCCCAGGCTGGGGGCTATGTGCCAGTCTAAGCAATTGCATTTTGTCTCTCTCAATTCCTCCTATAACAGAGGGGGGGATTCTTCTTCACTTCCTGTCCTAAAATGTGGGTATCCTTGCTGTGCACTTCCGTGTGGTTGCCAGGCCCCTGCCTAGGGGTGGCTGCATGTCAGTGGTTGTGTAAAGCAGCGTGGTGCTTATGAAAAATGCTTTGTTCAAATAAGTATAATGATAAACTCTTCCTCTGCCCAGGTCTCGGTGTCTGGGCAGGATTGTGTAGTGCTGGGAATGGTGGTGTAAGTCTGGGTTTGAGGTAGTCTTGACTCCTGCCAGTGTAAACCAGACAAGGTGGATGAGGTAATATCTTTTATGGGACCAACTTCTGTTGGTGAGAGGGACAAGCTTTTGAGCTACACAGAGCTCTTCAGGTCTGGTACTCAGTGTCACAATTAAACACAAGATCAAACAGATAGCTTAGTATAAGTAGTAGTACAGACACTCTTTTCTTAACATGTGTATTACATAATTTTTTAACATTAGCTTTAATACAAATGTTAATTCTGTAAGGGATCATTCAAGGTGAAGTGGCCCATTAACACTCGTGTAGTCATAGGACAAAAAGGGGGGTTAGTGGGTTACAGATGGTTGTAATAAGCTATAAATCCAATGTCTGTATTTAAGACCATGATTTTTAGTGTCTAACAAAGTTATGAGTTTAAGCTCCCACTTTTCAAAGGGCTGTGCAGGTGTCCTTTGAGGACGAAGACTGATAGGTCAGATAAAGAGTGATCACTTTGTGAAAAGTTTGTCTTGTCTTGTTTTGTTTTTGTCTTTTATCATATTCCTGTGTGAGCTCATTTGAGAGCGTAGTGATTTTTCACTCCTTGGGGTTCTGTCGTGTCTTCTCACTTGGCTCACCTGGCTGCTCCCAGGGCTTCAGCTCCCGCCTCTGTGCTGATGCTTTCCTCCACCCCATCCTCTATAGCCTTGGGTGTTCAGCAGAGCCGTAATCCACATCGCCCTGTTGATGCCTCCTTTCCACCTTTGCTCTCTGTTTACACTGCTTCACTTTTAGTCTAAGCCCTGGTGATCTCCCGTCTGCCCCTCTCCTGTCTTCACACCAATCTGTCCCAAATGCCATTGCTCCTTTTGACAGGTTTCAGAGTAGCAGCCGTGTTAGTCTGTATCCACAAAAAGAACAGGAGTACTTGTGGCACCTTAGAGACTAACAAATGTATTTGAGCATAAGCTTTCGTGGGCTACAGCCCACTTCTTCGGATGCATCTATGTGTATGTGTAGTTCTGTGGGCCAGAATGTAGAATGTTTGGGTGTGCAAAACAACTGGGCAATGTTACATCCAACTTGTACGCACACTTATTCAGGTTGTGAGTTGGGTAGTTGCACACAAAGATTTACACAAGCACCTCAGGTGGCATGTGACCATGATCCATCACTGAATTTGGTCTGCTGGTTGGATCGTTAGTTTCCCCGGCCCGGGCTGGTTACTGGCAGGAAGTGTGATTTACCAGATCTGTATGTGCACTTGCAGTATTTGCAGATTACCTCGCTGTTGGTCACCTTAGCCTGAGAGTCGGGCTCAGGTGCTCTGAAGCCCTACAGATGTGCAGTTCTTAGTACTGAAGGCTGCACTGAGGTTAACCAGCGTCTGGAGCTAGAAGGAGTCATCAGCAGCGGGAGGGAGAAGAGCAGTTTCCAGGCTGTGGTCAGTGCAGACCCCTAAAGGAGAAAGATGTGTAGAATGTTACTGGAAAGATGAGGTAGCCTTTTTCTGCTGAGAAGTGGAAGGTGTTAGAAGCAGAAGAGGTGCAGAGAACCTGATGATCAAAGGCTAGCCTCAGTCTTATCCAGCTCACAGTCCCCCAGTTTCCAGAACACTGCCTGCTCTGTAGCCCAGTCCCCTCCTCCCACTGGCATAGCCCAGCCCCTGGCATGTCCCTGTTGGGACCTGCAACCAGCATGAGATCTGTTTGGGGCAGCTTTCCCTCCTGAGCTGCAACACTCTTCAGATAAAGTTCTTGCTTCTTTCTTCTCTCTAGATGTTTAAAGGCCTTCAGGGCTTGGGAGCCGTTCCCAGGCCCTTAGCTCTGTTATGAAAAGCTGCCAGAGAGCCAGGGCCATGTGCTCCTTGCGGCAGCCCCTTGTGCTCTCTTTGATGGAGCCTGTGCTCAGTTCCCTGTTGTTGACCCTGATAGTGTTGGCATGGTTCTCTATGTTCCGTGTGCTGCTCTAGTTTCTATTGTCCCTGTAACTGCGGTGTAGGAGGCAGCTGGTGAGAAGCTAGAGGTTTTTGCCCACTGTGTAAGGGGCAGGTGGGTTCCCAGGAAGAGTTGGGAAATGCCTTGGGTTCCTGTCACCCAGATGGGGGTACTTTTGGCATTGGGGAACATATACATCTCTATTCTAGGCAGGAGCAGAGGTGGTAACTGTGACGTTGCACTCTATGATTTTATGAAAATATGCTAATGAGTGTGAATATAATGTAACTGGAATATGCTTCATGCAAAAGGTCTCTTGTAAGGTATCATTACAAAGCTTATAATCTACTGAGTGTGGTCATCCTATTTGTATGTATGTATCATTCTTGTATCTGATACTAGAAATATGAAATATAACTCTGAGGGCCTATTGTAATTATGCAAAGTGTGGGCCATTAATGGTGGTTTGGAATCTTGATGGCTCCAATCAACGAGGACAATTGACTGTGGATGGCTCTGTTGCTTGCAGGCCTTCCTGTGAGTCAGGCTGGGAAGAATGAAGGCTTGGGGTCTCACAGGACATGTGACCATGTCACCTGGTACTGAAATCCATCTTAAACCTGGTGCTTTTCCATTTAGAAGGACGGGTGGGGACCCAGAGAGACAAAAGATTCCCGCCTTCTGCCAAAGCTATATAAGGGGGTGGAACAGAACAAAGGGGGCTGCAGTCATGAGAAATCCCCTAGTTACCACCTGAGCTGGAACAAGGGCTGTACCAGGGGAAAGGATTGTGCCCAGACTAGGAAGGCATCGTCTGTGATAGAAGCTTGTCCCCATTCTAGGCAGGAGCAGAGGTGATAACGTTTTTGGAGGAGAGAGATTTGAACTCTTAGTTCCCCAGTTTAGCCTACCTTGTCCCATGCAGCCACCCCACCTTTCTTCAGCCCCCTGATATCAGCTACTGAATCCAACCACTGTGTAAAATCCACTCATTAGCTGGATACTTCTAAAATGATCTGCAGGGAAATAGTTAAGTGCTGACATTTAGAGGTCGCATTTTTAGCATTGTGCATGTATTTTCTTAATTTGCATTTGCAGTTAGCACCGTTATACAGTTGGCCATGTGCATGTACTGTTACCACGATGACATGTGCAGTTAGGATGCTGAGATTAGCTGGATGCCTGCATGTTTGCAGTTCTGGACATCCAGCACTGGGTTTCAGAGTTAACACCATTGAGGTGCATGGGCCACTTTGTATCTCTGTGCTGTTGGCTCTTATTTTTAAATACTTTCGGTGGTCTTGTTGGGAAATTGAGTTCAAATTACCATAATTAGCAAATAGTGTGTGCAGTTACCCAATGTGTGTCAAATAGCCATGGTCAGTGCACATGCACATAGGTGTGCATTGTTCATCTAATTTGTATGTGTGTCCATTTGTAGTCAGAGAGGAAGGATAGCCAAGTGGTTTTGGAGCTCCCTGGGACTCAGAAGACACCAGAAGATGCTCTGTGTGATCTTGGGCAAGTCTCTTAGCTTTCTTGGACCTCCATCCCCATCTGTAGAACTGGGAGAACAGCCTTGCCTGGCTGCTCAGGGGCATGTGAGGGTAAATACATTAGATATCGGGAGGCACCTGGATACTAGGACCGTGGAGGCCAGATAAATACCTTCGAATCAGGCTTCTGCCAACCAGAAAGGCTGGAAATTCACTTTAATGGGAATGCTGCATGGCAGGGGTGGGAATTGAAAGAGACCATTGCAGTGGTAGATGTGGCTCCTGCCTGTGCTTAAGATCAGCTCGTCGCTGATGGCATTTGGAACAAGCCTGCACCTCTGAGGCCTTTCTTTGTTCTGAATCCTGGGTTCAGTCTGCCTTAGGTCAGGTGAAAATGAGATTGACATCACAAAGCCATGGTATCTGGCACAGGCTGTGTCTGCTTAGAAGTCTCTGCTCAGGAGGGGTCCAGGCTGGACAGAGGAGCAGTGGCAGAGTGTGTGGGGAGCTCAAGAGGAACAGTGGGAGGGCTGTGGATTGGTACTGAGGGGCACCTGCAGAGCTGTGTGTGGGGAGAGGGCAAAATGACATTGCACTAACTGGTCTGACTGGTTCTATACTTGGTGAGTGCCAGAATTGTTAACTGGGAGCAGATTGTCTGTTCAGCTCCATTGCCATCTGCGTAGTGCCCTCCTTCCGCCTCCTCAGAAGGATGCTGCCGTGTGTATGTAACGTGAATGCATAAATAAATGTGCCTGTATTTCTCACCACAGCTGAAACTGTGTATCCAAGCCAGTTGGGGCAATCTCTGCCTTACTTGGGAGAAACTGCAGTGAAGCAACAGCTCTGGAATGGGGAGTAATGGCTCCTGTTAACAGTGTCTGGAACTCTGGGGGAATCCACAGCAACAAGAGGTGTGTGATATTTGTCTGGAGTGGGTTATTGGGCTGGGATTGTCGGGTCCTGTAGAGATGTCATAGAACTTGCACAACAGGCCCTGCCTCCATTCAGGTCTCCACTGTAAATTACTCATGGGCTACAGAGCACTTTGTCCAGCCTTTAGCTGAAGAGCCACTGCTTACTGGGCCTTGGATGGATGGGCTCTGTGCACTGCATGGCCCAGGGTTGTCTGGGTGACTCACTGATAAAACTGGAGATGGGGGTGTGACCTGCAGTGCTTGTCCCAGGCAGTCGGTCATGTGGGCAGACTAGAGGGCGCAGCCCTCAAGGCAGTTTACTGTTCTCTGACATAAGGAGGGGCCGATTTTACTCGGAGTTCTGTGCGTTTTCTCTCCTGTCTTCCCCAGTGTGAAGAGGTCTTGTTCCAGGTGGTATCAGACGCTGCTGATGTAAATTCAATGTGTGTATGAATGTTTCTCTGCCCTAAATTACAATGTTAAGTCTGCAATCCCAGCTGCATCCTGGGTAAGGGTGTCCCCTCCGAGCACCTCACAGCCCAGTTGCCCACAGGAGACACTTGGCTTCACATGCAGATCTGTCAGTCTAAGCAGCAAGACATGTGGCAGAGAGTTTGGGGCAGAACCTTGGCCTGGAGACTGTGCGTAGGGTGTGGTGTGGCCTTGGCAGACCCTAGTGTTCAGGTTGTTTCACGGGTGATCAGCATGGATGGCGTTCTGCACACAGGGAATGGTATTTGTGCACACAAGATAATATTTGAAGAGGCTGGTCCTGTATGCTGACAGAACAGTGGAAGCATCCTTCCCAAATGCAGGCTGACTGATCAGAGAGGAGTGCCCTTTGTTTGTGTCCTGGTGGCAGGCAGGAACCACCTAACTGCTTTAGCAGCCAAATCCTGCCACAACGTTAGTGCAATGGGCAAGTTCTGTTGGGCAGCCAAAAGAGAAGGGGGTTCTGTATGTGCCAGGATGCTGGCATCTGGAGATATGGCTGCATCCATGTTTTGGCTCAGAGCTGCTTTTCTCCCTGGGGGAGCATGGCGGGGGGTAATTCTGTGCATCATCTTCCTTCTGCGCATTTCATGCTCTTGCCTCAGAAATTAGGCCATCCAGTCATTCTGTGCCAAGCAGTGCTACCGGCTGGGTGGAGGGTGTGTTATAGCCATGCTCTGTGGGGAGAAGGAGAGAGCAGCCATTTCCCTTAGCCTTTGCTCATCTTGCTGTGACCTGCCAGTTCCCCTGTTCCTTGCCCTCACAAGAATTCGCTGTCATGCCCCAGAGGAATCTCCAGCAAGAGGCAGGTGCGTTCAAAGAGTGGAATTGGGAGTTCCGGGAAGCTACGCCAGCTGGTGACACACATGCCAGCAGGGAGCGGTGTGGAGAGGGATCAGGATTTAAGGTCAGGCTTGACAAAGCCCTGGCTGGGCTGATTTATTTGGGGGTTGGTCCTGCTTTGAGCAGGGGGTTGGACTAGATACCTCCTGAGGTCCCTTCCAACCCTGATATTCTATGATCAGTCCTGCTCCCTCCACATTCCCTCTTTCTGCTTGGCATTCAGTCAACCCCTGGTTTGCAGTGTGGAATGACTGGAGCTGTGCAAGCATTGCTAGGTGGGATCGCCCACTGCTTCCAGTCCCACAAATCGGATTTGTTCTCTTGGAGGAGGCCTCCCCACGCTGAGCGATGAGTAGGGGTTGCTGGTCTCCTCTGCACAGACTGGGGGCAGGGGGCATGTCCGGAGCTGCACAATCTGAACCCAGGGTCTGACTGGGTCGGGGGACGGGCAGACCCAACTCATGGATCTGAGCAGGGACATGGTGAATGGTAGAGAGTTGCTGGGGACTGTGGGAAGGTGGGTCAGCCCCTTTGCAGGTTCTGGCCTTGGCCTCCACTGACCCCATGAATGCTCACGCCCGTGGTTCAGGCAGCTCTCTCCCCTTGGGACTGCAGCAAGAGAAACCATTCCCTGCACCCTCCCAGGCCCAAGAAACTCCTGGAGGAATCACAAGCAATCCATCCCTCCTGCCCTGGAGCACAGGAGCTTCTGCCTCGTCTGCAGGTGGTGCTGTGGAGGTGTAGGGTTAGGCCCTCCCCTCTCCATCCTGGGGCTGCATTCTTCCTGGCTTGGCAGGTTCACAGGTCCCTTCCCCTTCTTGTCACCGCTGGGCTCTCTCACCTGGGTTCCTAATTACATGGAGGCTAAAGATCATATCTCTAGTAGGCCTGTATTCAGTTGTCTCCAAACCTGCTGCTGATTTGAGTGTGTTTTGGTAACAGACAAATTACTTGAAGCTGCTTTAGTGCCATGGAAGCATTGGTGTCCCCTGGCATCTGCCTCTTAGCACTGCCTTTCCAGGCTTCCTCGGGCACCAGAGCTTCTGCAGAGTGTGCTGGCAGCAGGATCAGATGATCTATGTGCCTTGTCTCTGGGGGTTACCCCGTATGGCAGGTATTGTGGGACCTTTCAGCATAAGAACAGGGTCTTGATCTCAGTTTGATCTGCCCTTGTCTGTCCTCCTCACCCATATCCTTTTACTTACGTGTTATGGAACGAACGAACGCCTCAGACTTGTCACTGGTTCTATGTTAAATCAGGAAAAGACCTGAGCAGACTGGTGAGCAATAGGCCAATGATATCTGAGCTCAGTGTGCAGCCACTGTCAGGGAATCCACTGAGCTATTGGGCTGCAAGAAAGTAACAGGAGAATATTCTAGTGCCATTGTCCAAATCAATGAGCACCCTCCCTGGACACAGCTCCCCTGGGCTAGCCCATATCCAGGGTGGGGGCAGGGCTTGGAGGCGTTATGGGACAGGCAATGAGAAGAATTAAGGGTTGGGAGAGACCACATGGAGAGAGAAACCATTGTGTCTGTCTAAAGAGGGGACAAATAAGAGGGTGAGGTAGAGGGATCCACAGTGATGAACTATCTAGAGAAGGGAGATCCGGTGCGACCATTCTCTTTTGCTCACTGCACAAGACCAAGGGCCAGTGTAGGGACACTGAAAGGCAGCACACTTGAGAAGGAAATACTTTTTCACACCCCACAATTGACCTGTGGAACTCACTGCCACAAGGTGTCATTGAGGCCACGCACGTAGCAACGAGACAATTAGATGGGGACATAGAATCATAGGATTAGAAGGGACCGCCAGGGTCATGTAGTCTAACCCCCTGCCAAGCTGCAGTCAGTGACAGCCAGAGTTCCATTAGGTCAGAATGGGAGAGATGTGAGCTCTCGGGCATGGGGCAAATGCCAGTTGATGGGGGTTAGGTAGAAGGATATTCTTTTCTGGGGGTTCTTGCAGCTGGTGCTGGGGGCTGCATCCTTGTGTTGGTCTGGTCTGGCAATTCCTGTGCTCCTGTTTTAGAACTGTTTGGATAGCCAGCCTTGTTCACAGGTGTGGAAAAGTAGAAGATCGAGTCCCAGACCCATTCTTTTTTTTTTTTTTGGTGGGGAGGGAATGCCCCTGCCAGCAGCTTGGCTCCCTCTTCCTAGGGCCAGGCAGATGCATGCAGCATCTGTGCACGTCCATGGTGCAGCTACCCTGGGTTTTCTGTGCCTACGTGTGAGGATAGTGAGGGGGCCAGGACCCTTTTGTCTGTCTCTTCCCTTTTCCCTCTTCCTCCCTCTCTCTTGGTCTCCATGACGGGACACAAGGAGGCTTGGGGTGAAATGCTATCTGATCCCAGGGAGGCTTTGGCTGAGAATTGGGGTTGTTTCTGGGAGTTTTGGAAACCTCCAGAGAGTGCCTTTCATTTTTATCCAACTGCAGAAATGGCTGTTATTTATTGAAGATGTTTACAAAAATAATGCTGTGCCGTGGGGCTGTGAACTGGCAATGAAGTGCTGAGTCCTTGGGATCAGCCCTCTGGGCTGCTCTCCCCTCCATTTCAGGCGAGCTGCTCAGGTCTGGGTCTTGGGGTCACCGCTCAGCAGAGAGCAAGCGCTGTCCAAATGCAGCCTTTGCTGTGTGTCCTGCAAGAGACTGAGGCAGGTGGCTGTGAGCCCCACTTCCCCTCCCCCCACCCAGTGCAGAAGGAGAGGTGGGGGGCAGGGAGAAGAGGAGACAGATGCAGCGGGGGAGCGAGCGACAGAGTTCTTCAGCCACCTGTGTCTTGTTCAAGGGCACATGAGTGTGAAATTCAATTTGTAGACGCAAGCTGTGGCTGGTGAGGAACATGGGCCGCTGTGTCTGCTGGAGCCTGGCAGTCTGGGAGCACTGCAGCCTGTATGCACAGTGTGTCCTGCCTGCCAGCTCCCAGGGAGGCTGACGTCACCTCAGCGGAGCAGTGGCTGCTGCAGGACATGTCTGCTTGAAGTCTTGTCAGGTTCTCCCCTGGTGTGGAGCCTTCTGTCTCCATCCGGGAGCTCCCCTCCCCAGGAGCTGAGATCACACTACACTGGCGCCTACTGAAAGCACCTGGTAGATGCTCCATCGTGTCTCCTTCCCATGGCCTGGTGGGCCCAGGGCCGAGATTGTGGTAAGAGGGCCAAGATTGTGCCCAGCTTGTGCTGAGGTGTGAGGGGTGCTGGGCGTGAAGCCTGCACTGTGCGCGCCAAGGACCTGTAGGGAAGCTGGGTGGGCAGCTGGTCTCTCTTCCTTCCACTGGGCGGGTTCTGTTCCTCTCCCATCCCTGTGCATTTCAGGGCAGGTTTGTCAGCTGGATGAGACTTGGGTGGTGTCTCAAAGGTAAGAACTCCCCAGGTGGAGGGCAGGTTCATGCTCCTGCTTGGGGCTTTTGTGGCATGGTGTTCCCCTTTCCCCAAACCCCAGCTGGGCAGAGCGGGTTGAGTGCTCACACCCTGGTGCTCTGGGGGGTTGGGAGTGGGAGATGTCCCTGGTCGGGGTTCTCCCACAGGCCCCAGCTGCAGTTTGCAGCATTTCTGCTTCTGCCTCCCCACAATGCACGGAGTGGGCTTTGCCTGCATCAGGAACCCACTGTTTGGGGGTGATGGTATTGTGGGGCAGGCAGGAGGTGCTTTCTCTAATGCCC